TTCTGGTAGACATATCTTGGAGGGGCCACCATCCAACCCACTACATTCTCCAAGAAAAATTGTAAGATAAATAAAAGGATGGATGAGGAACCATAGATCAAGAGGCTTAAGAGACATATCAACATTTTTTAAATGGGCAAGACTAAAGTATAGTTCCTGGAGATGCCTATGTGGGTGATAAAACTTGTAAAAAACACAAAGAAGTGAAAACTAAAAATATCAGGCTAATGGTGACTTTTGGTGGCAGGGAAGGGGTTGTGATCAAGATGAGGTATGTGCAAGGGACTTCACGGGTTCAGATCAAGTTCTAGTTCTTTACCTGGGAAGTGGTTAAAAGGGTGCTTACCTTATAATAATTCATTAATCCACACATTTGTTTTGCTTGTTTTCCTGTATCTGTATTTTTTGTTTCAATAAAAATCTGTTTCAAAAAGGCAAGGAAACACATACCTTTGAGATAATACCTTTCTTTTCCATCCAGTATATTTTGTCTCAATCACATTACTTGTTAACTGAGCAGGGAGAGCTTCAGCGAAAGAGACAATTTGCAATCACAGTACAGTCTAAATAAATAGCTCCGCTGACAATGGTAACATTAGCTGCTCAAAGCATGCTACATACAAGGGAGTTTCCTGTGCCGTAGTTGCCTGAGAAGCCAATTTATAGGGCAGAGATTGCTAGATTGTAGACGACCATATGGCAATGTTTCTCAAAGTGTGTTCTGTGGACCACCTGCAACACAATTATCCTGCTTATATTGCAGATTCCTAAACCCCAACCAGAGATTCAGACTCAGTAGATCTGACTGAGAGCAATGCTCTCTGCCGGAAGTCTGTCCTAGATGTATTTTAATATAACAGAAGCTCTATCCAAACAGTGTCTTCCTGGTCAAAGAACTGAAGACAAGAAACACTACGCTGGTATCTAAACCACTATCTATTATAACTATAATGGTCCACTTTCTAGGATAAGCACCTAGAAATTTTGTTATTAGTGTTTGATGTGGTAAAGGCTTAAGGACATGCTCCTCTTTCTTCCTAACCAGGAAGATAAAACAGAGAATGTTATTTCTATGTGGGCAACTAACTGAACTGCAATATAAGAGCCTTAAACTCTTAAACTAGTCTTCTCCAGCCCCTAAAATTTAAAACTATATAGTCTAAATCCAGCACAGCAACCAGATTTGGCTGAGCTAAATTAGAGGCACAATTTAAACTTTAGATGTTCCAAGGACTTTCTGGGTTTATGAGCGGTTTCCTTAATCTCCTAAACCTAGAATTTTTCCATCTGAAGATTTAATATTGAATTCCCACAAAACTGTTTAATAGTATTGTTTCTTGGGAGTTAGTTATATCGATCTCACAGATGTTGGCAAAACTATTTCAAAATTGAAAATGAAGACTTTTAGAGAAGATTGTAAGCTCAAACTTTATATACATATAGTATGTACGTACTGTACGTATGTATATGTGTGTGTGTGTTAGAGCTTGTTATGTTAGCTGGCAGGATGAGAAGGGGCAGGAAGGAAATCAGAAATATCCATCAGGATGACTAGGCACAGGAGTGGCAATTGTGGCTGTAGCAATGGGAAATAGTGGGAAGAAGTCCAAAGTCATACAGCTGACTCTGGCCCTCAATCTGTAGTGTTTAAAGGAATTACCTGGAGGGACTTGTTAAATGAGATTCTCGGGCCCTGCCTCAAAGGATTCTGATTCATTAGATTGGGGTAGAGCTCAGGAATCTCTGTATTGACAAGCTCCTTAGGTGAGTCTGCACTGGGTAGTCAGCAAGTCATACTTTGAAAAATCTTCAACAGAGGCTATAGCCCAGGCTGGCAATTAGTATCATTGGTGTCCAGCCAGGAATGGTATCTTGGCAGCAATACAAAACAAAGTGAATAGCAGCTAAGAGGCTTGAAGGTTCAGGTAGGCAGGCTAACAGACTGTATTAGTTTCCTAGGGCTGCCGTAATAAATTATGACAAACTGGGTAAGTGAAAACAACAGAAATTTATTCTATCACAGGTCTAGAGACCAGATGTCCAAAATCAAGCTGTTGGCAGGGCTCCTCTCCCTCCAGAGGCTCTAGGGGAGATTCTGTTCTTGCCCCTTCCAGCATCTGGTGGCTGTTGGCATTCCTTGACTTGTGGCTGTTCTTTACAACCTCTGTCTCTGTCTTCACCCGGCCTTCTTTTCCTTGCTGTGTGTCTCTCTTCTGGTTGTCTCTTGAAAGGACACTTGTCATTGGATTTAGGGCCCACCCAGAATGATTTTATCTTGAGATTCTGAACTTAATTACCTCTGCAGGGACCAATATAAGGAAAACCTTATTTCCAAATAAGGTTACAATCTCAGGTTCTGGAGATTAAGACTTAGACGTATTTTGGGGGAGCCATCGTTCAACCAACTACACAGGCCAATTCTGGGGCAATGGTTGCCTTGGTCCACTGTCAGAGCAAGGGAAAGGGGAGTGGTGATTGGGAAAAGCATTCTGGCTCTAGTGCTAGAGCAGTCTAATCTTCAAGGGAAGGTCAGGAGGGCTCAGATTTAGGAACCAGCCAGAAGCTGGCCACTGACAGATGAGCAGGTCGGAGTAGGAAGAGTAGCAGAGCTGACTTTATTATCCTGAACTTCTGAGTCAGGATTCTATAATCTGTACTAACCAGGACATGACTGTGCTCCTACTCTGAGACAAAGCTAAGCTGCCACAGCAAGTGGATATCCAAGGACAGTAGGAAGATTAGAGGCTAGAAGTCAGACTGGACTACAAAGAGCTACAAAGCACAATCACACAAATAAGTGGAATCATAAATAGCTACCACTTATTGAGCCCCTGCTATATGCCTGGGATTTTACATTTATTATTGCCTCTTTTCACATAACTTTTCAATATGGCTATTGCAATACGGGTTCCCATTTAACATATGAGAAAATAGGCTTTTAAAGGTTAAAGTTACATAACTAGTAAGTGGCAGAGCCAGAATTTACACCTAGATTACTCCGGTTCCAAAGCCTATTATCTTTCAACTAAAACATGCTACCTCTCCACCAATTAACAGCCTATCTCAAATTATAGCATTCTATCTTCCAACAGCTCCTCTTTTCTCTTTAAACTCTTCCTTCCACATCTTCATTCTAGAGTTCACTAGACATAAAAGGTCAAAACACCTGTTTCTCTACCAAATACCCTACATTAAAAAATATAACTTAGCTAAGGCAGAATGAGAAATATTTCAAAGCTTTCTAAACCAGAATCACAGATGTGGATCTGGATTGTGAACACTTGTTCCATTGTGGCTGTGACATATTCATCTTACTGTAACCATTTGTGGGGAGCTCCATGGGGGATTCTGTACACAGTCCCAAGTCCTAGGCTTGTCTCTAATCTTAAAATGCAGGTCTAATCTTAAGATACTGTGTATGGTATAGCACCCCTCCTCCACAACCCTCACTATCACCACAAATGTATGCCACCAGTGATGTTCTACAGGTGCTAACATCCAAGTAGTTACAATACTAGTTTCCTCCCATAGTGACCCACAGTGGAAAGCAACATTGATGGTACAAGATCAAGGAAATTGCTAATACATTACGCCTTTGGTCCAACCAGGAATTGATCCCTTTGAGTAATCTGCCCTAAAGATATTGACAGTTCTATGATAGAGCATTAATAAATGTTTGGGTACTAGGCCATGGATTGTCAACTATCTTGAATGCAAGACCAAAATATTCCTGAGCCTGGTGCAGGGTTTAACAGTACTTTTAGCTCATCCTGTTTCAGACACGCTAACAGGATTGAAGTATTATGGAGTCCTAGTCTGAAATGACATATCTTTTCAGGTCATTCATAAGACTGAGTATATGAGTTTTGGGAAATTATTATTATTAATAATGATAATAATAAAGTCTTGGGAAAGGGCTTGAGGTATTGCAAGCCTCATCATCCAGGGAGCACCAGCTTAGTAGCTATTTTGTACAATTCTCAGTGACTCGAACTGTAAATGATGACCTGACAGGAATGCCTTTCTTCACATTCCTGCAGGGGTCCCTTTTCCTGCTCTCACAGGAGCAATCTTCAATTTTAAGACCCGTGAATACCTGCACCAATACAGGAGTCAATTTGACAATAATTTAATACTTCTCTACTAAAAAGATTCTTTTAAAATATTTTGGAATAGGTTCGGGTCGTCCTGTTTGCTTTTATTCAGAGAATTTGCTAGGAAAGCGAGACTGTAAAGCGCTGGTGCCCGGGCGTGCAGCGTTCTTCGGGAGCAAGACGTCATCGTCGGAAGCGTGTACTTCTTCGGATTACTGTTTGGCGGATTAGAAACACGCAGATCAGTCCTGGGTTAGTCCTGATTAACTGCACTGGGTCCTTCTGGGCCAGTGGGGGGTGTCTGCTGGACTCGAACCAATACTCGTGGTAAGATTTCACTCCGCAAAACATTCAGAGTTAATTTTTACTTAAATCCAATCCAGACTAATAATAAAGCTACCAAGAATGATCTGTAATGTTAACTAAATGGTGCCCGCAATCACGTCAGTCAAACCTTCTGCCCCCACGATTCTGTCTGCCCACATGCTTCTGTCTATCAGCCTCGGCCTCGGGATCAGCTCTCGCCGCGGCATTGGTTGGATTTCAGGAAGGAGAAACCCACGATTTAAAGGGCTCAGCTTCCACCTGCCAGGCATCGTCCGCATGGTCCAACTCGCCTTTGGCACATGTTCGGGAGAATCTCCCACTGTTCATCTATTACACTGACTGATCAAAGGAAAGAGATTTCCCCAAAGTGTCCCCTTGGTCACCTTGACAGTTTCCCAAAGCGAAACTTGCGCTGTAGACTAGACCGACACTGAGTCTGCGGGGAGCGGAGTCCCTGCCCAGGTCAGCAGAGTCTGCCGGGAGGGCGGGCGGGGACGGGGGCGGAGCCTGGGTTAGGCGTGGTCTTCCGTGGGAAGAAGGAAAGGCTTTGCCCCACCTCCTAAAACCTCTGGTCTCTCCCAGCCAATCAAGGCGGCCTATGCAAATAGGGCCCCTGTCGCCCCAGTAACCATGATGCACGGCAGCCAATGGCAACCAGCAAGTTGCGGCCCTGCTCCCCGATTGGGACTGAAGTAAGAAGATAGAGACCCAATGGGCTGTGGGAACGGTCCTCGGCGGGTTGAGGGGCGGGGATATGCAAATATGGTTTGAAAAGCCGGCGGGAAATCTGAGTTTCGCGGGAGGACCTTGGCGCGTAAACCGTATCCCTTCATTCATTGTCAGCAGCAGCTTCCTGGAGCCATTTTTCAGCTGCCGGCCGCAGCACTCGGGCTGCCGCCGCCGCCTCGCAATCCGTTGCATCGGCCGCCCCCGACGCCTCCATCCCCCCTCGGGGCCCGATATCCGTGCGGCCGGGACCCTCCTCTCTCCAGAGCCCCGATTATTTTTGGCCCCCGGGGCCCGTGCGGTGCGGAAAAATAAAAAGAAAAGAGAGAGAAGGGGCTCGGAAGCGCCGGGCGGGGAGGAGAGAAGGCGGAGAGACTTGGAAACTCCGACTGCAAATAATAAAGAAATTGAAAACAATACATTAATATACCATAGCAATAAAAAGAGCAGGAGCGAGAGATGAGAAAGGGGATCCAGCCCGCCCTGGAGCAGTACCTGGTGACCGCCGGGGGTGGGGAGGGGGCGGCTGTCGTCGCCGCCGCCGCTGCAGCCTCCATGGACAAAAGGGCACTGCTAGCCAGCCCTGGCTTCCCCGCCGCCGCCGCCGCCGCTGCTGCCACCCCGGGCGCATACATCCAGATCCTCACCACGAACACTTCCACCACCTCCTGTTCCTCCTCCCTCCAAAGCGGCGCCGTCGCCGCCGGCCCCCTCCTCCCCAGTGCCCCCGGCGCGGAGCAGACCGCTGGCAGCCTCCTCTACACCACGCCGCACGGACCCTCCAGCAGAGCCGGGCTGCTGCAGCAGCCACCAGCGCTGGGACGCGGCGGCAGCGGCGGCGGCGGCGGCCCTCCGGTAATGCCCTCCCGTTCCCACCGTCCCCAGCCCAGGCGGGAGGTGGGCTCGCACTGCGCGGGGTGGTGGGCGCGCTGCGGGCTGCCCCGGGAGAGCGCGAGGCCGAGCATCGTGGGCCTCGGCGGCTGCCCCTCCAACAAGGGTTTATTGTTAGACTTGTGTGCTCCCCCCAGCGCCCAGAGGGTCGGGGGGCTCCGCAAGGCGCGCGGGGCAGCCGGGATTGCCTTGGCGCGAACCACATCAAACACTCCGAAACTTTTCGCGGCCCCCCCTTCTTTTCCTGCACTTTTCCCTACCCCCACTCTCCCCTCCCCTCCAACTCGAAGCTTCCTCTTTCTCGGGCGTAGGAAGGGGTCACGCCCCGGATGGAGAAGGGGGTGGGGGAGGGAGTAGTGAACTGGGGAGTGGGGGACTCTGGGGGGTGGAAATTGGGGGACTGTTGGGGTGATCGCCCCCCGCCAGCCTCGAAGGCCCGTTGGCAGCCGGGGGTCCCTAAGGCGTGCTCGGAGCGCAGGGGCTCTGCCTGACTGCGCTTGACACATTTTGGGATCTGTAACTCCCGGCAACAAAGGGGCTGGGGGAGGCGGAGGAGGGTGTGTGTTGCGGGGAGGTGGGGCTGGAAGCCGGGTGTGGGCTGGGGCGTGGGCTGTCTGGGGGTGAGGGGCTAGCGGACTGGCGCCCCGGCCTGGGCGCATCCTAGCGGTGGCAGCGGCGGCGCCCGCGTGGCCCGAGCGCCCGGGCCTGCCTCGCCGGGCCCCGGGCCTGCCCTTGACCCGCCTCTCCCCTTGCCCCTTCCTTCCCCGCCCTGTCCCCCTCCCCGCCCCCCGGCGACGGAGGGCGGGGGCAGCCGTGATCCCGTCCCGCCGCCTGGGTCTGTCCCTCTCCCCGGGACCCGCCGGTGACGTTTCGCACACGTGCGCGGAGGACGCGCCTGTGACTGGGGAGGAGGCGGCGGCGGGAGGGGGCGCTGGAGGGGGAGAGGGGGGCACCCACTTCCTCCTGCTCGCCGGCTCCCTGGCCTGGGACCGTCCCGGCGCCCTCGCACCCGCCCCCGGCACGGCCACCCTCCCTCTCCTCTCCCTAACCCTCCCCCCCCCCACGGGCGCCCGCCCTCGCCCGGCGCCGCCGGTCTGTTCGGCCCTCCGGGCCCCCTCTCCAGCCGGCCCCCCCACCTCCCCCCCGGAGCCAGGCTGGTTTCGGAAATGCCCTTACAGCAGCAGGTTAGTGACCGGGACGGCTCGGGGGCCGCCGCCGCCGCGGGGGCACCGGATTCTGTTGGGGGCTGAAGCCGTGAGGGTAGGCGGTTGAGCGGGGTTTTGGAGTGGGAACGGGGGGTTGGGTGCTTGAGGGAAATGAGTAAGCAAGAAAAATCTAACTAAGTAAATGCCCCGGCCTCCGGTTCTAGGAACCTCGGGGCGGGAGTGTCCGCCCCAGGGGGTGGGCATGGTGTTTACGTGTATTTTTTCCTAGGGGGCCGATGGATGGGCGATCGAAAACCAGAGGGGGGCTTCTCGCCAATGGCCGAGTTGAGCTCTGTTTTCTGTCTTCCTTCCCTTGTGCTGGAGGGGGAGGGGGGCGGGTCAGAGGGTAGGGTGTCTGTAAGATTCCCAGGCCACCCGCTCCCTTTGTCCCTGTAATTTATAAAGCGCCTTTGAGAGATGATTTAGGTCAGTATTCGGCTTCTCTTTTTGTTGACACTGGAAAGAAGTGTGGCCCGGAGGTCTTCCCTCTTTCTCCCTTTCTCTCCTTCAATCCCTTCCTCCATGCCTCCTGTCTTCACCCTCGTGGTGAGGCTTGGCCCCCACGAGGCTAGAAACGAACCAGACTCAGAATACCGATCGTTGACCTCACCTTGTCTCAGCTCCAAATGGGCTCATTTTTCGGAGAATGAAGATTTTGCAGGGTCTTTAAGGAAGTCAGCACATAGCCAGCACTTTGGGAAATGAGAAGATGGGTTTTGGAAAATGAAAATTTTCATTTCCTTAACTCTTCCCAATTTCTCCCTGGGTTGGATCTTAACTGCATTCTCGCCCCGGCGATACTTGCTGGGAATGTGTGATAGAGTCTCCGTCCAAGGAGCTCTTCGTATTTTAGTGACTAGGGTCTGCCAGCAGGGGGGAAAGAGTACAGTACCTGCCTACACATACAGTATGCAGTGTGCTGGAGTCTCAGGCATAACAATGTTCCATGCTTTTATTAGCATTAAATACTGTTACTGACTTGACCGAAACATGCTTGCACATATTTTAAGCATATTTGCCCCCTACACAGTTCTGTTACTATCTTATAAACCTAATATGAAACAACCAGCTATTGACATAACTTGTTGGATTGGATTCAGATTTATGGGAGGGTCATTTTGATAATGGAAAGATGTGGGACTACCAGATTACTTTTTTTTTTTTTATCTTAGCCTGCTTGTTGGGCCAGGTCTTCAAAACAGGCTAGCCAAACTTATATGCAGTTCATTGTATTTAAGTATTTAAAGTATTAAAAATTGCCCTCACCACCTTCCAAGTTATTTCAAAACTTTATCCTCGCGATGAGATGATTATTCCAAAGACATGAGCACTGAATATAAAGTTTATTTTTTCTTACCAAAATTGTATTAGACTTCTATTAAAGTCTTGAAATTTTGTTGATGTTCATTCCCTAAGCAGGAAAGACAGGATGGGGAATCTAAGTGATTGGCAGAACAAAGAGGCCATTTAAACACTTTGCATCCAAGAAGAGGTGCGAACTCTTGTTCAGGTGGCCAGAGTTACAGACCCACCTGGTTCTAATTCCATGTTCTGGCTTAAGAGTATCTAAGAACTTAACCAGAAGCAAATTCTTCAGCTTTTGCTAATGGGAAAAAAGATACATGAGTGCAACCTTACTAGCTGTATTACATATGCATGTCATATGCAAATTGTATAATCTTAGGGAAATAATCTCTCAAAATACAGTTTCCTTTTGTGTAACCTAGGTACACTAACAATACTAACTCTAAGGTTCTTTTTAAGTGTTAAATATGATAATGCATGTAAAAGACTTAGCACAGTGCCTGACAAATAGTAGATGCCCAATAAAATTAATATTCAGAAATGCTGTTTTTTAATAACTTGGAGAAATAGTGTAAGGTCACATGTACACTGTCCCTTTGTTTACATATATGAGTAAAATGGTTAAAAGTTTTCTAAAGTGATAGGTAATTAATTCTTTATACCTAATTAGTTTGGGCTTTTAAATCTGTAAAGCAGTGGGTAAAATAGGGGCATGTCAGTATGACAGGCCTATGTAGATATGGTGGTGTTGAACTGTCCACACGTGAGCTTGTGCCTTGGGTGGTGACAAATTTAGATCAACTGATCCTCACTTTTTTTTGCCTGAGTTCCCCTCCTCCCGTGACTTCATGGACCTGCCATAAGTGCAGTCCATGCTTAGTGGCTTTTGTACGACTGAACTTTCAGTTGTCCCCAAGTCAGAGACATGTGCTAGATAAATTCAATTTTAGATAGTGAACTGTTGGAAATGGAAGCGCTCTAGAGAAACAGAGTCCAAAGTGCTATTTTCTGGAACAGAATGAGCTTCATCATTTTCTGCCTCTTCTATAAAGAAGCTGAAATTATTTCATTCTGCTTCTAGAAAATTTGGGATCTATTAATGCAGGAGACAATGGCCTGTTACATCTGATTTAATTTAATCCAGTCGTAGCAACACGCTGATTATACTTTGGGAAAGAACCCGCAATGCTTGAAATTTCCCTGTAAGAATAGAGGAACCATAGGTGCTGTAGCTGGGTCTCTTTTTTCTTGTACAAGTATGAAAGAAGAAAAATACTGGGTTCTTGTGGTTCTGTACTCAATAATCTTGCTTTTGCTGGGATATATGGTTGATGCCAAGTTTAAGTTAGAGGAGAATTTTTAGCTACTACATACCCCAAAATGGAAGTTTTAATATAATGCTGTGCCCAGACTCGGGCAGTACAAATAGCTCCACTATAATCAGTACCAAGGGTGCCACTCCAGTCATCGTCTGAAACAAAGCACCGTTAAATGTGGCACTGTGAGTGAAGGAACCCAAGCTTGCGAACAGGGAAGGATTTTTTTGTTTTTCTATAAATCGTCACCTTGTGCAATACTTGGAAGAGTAGATTCCCAGATTAATGTTGTGCTGTGTAAAGCTAACTTGAACACAGAAAATAACATTCTAAGCTTAGACATGAATACATAACAGCACCTGCAGATTGAAAGACTGTGGGAAAAAGTTGCTTTTATTCTCATTTCCCAGAAATATAATGCAGTAGTTGTCTTTTAACTGTCTTTATTGCCATCTCCAAAGATACACCATCCCCACCTTTAACACCTTTCCAAAGGACTTAGACCCATTTGGCAAAGCTGCAAGTATTCATAGTGAATTTTCTGGCCGGTTTTCTAACTTAATGTGATTTCCAAATATTCCATTTGTATCTCCGCTTTCCCAGGCCAACCAACTCCCATCCCTTTATAACCACCTGCTTTCTACTAACATTTGAGACTAGGATGAGTGAAAATCAGTTGCCTATGCTCATCAAATCAAGTCCCTCATACATTCCCATGAAACCACCCCAAATAGTGCACAGCAAAGAAGGTAGGTTTCAATTCTTATCAGATTCTCTGTTTCATTTTGGTTTTTAAAGAGAGGAACTTCCCTGAATTCTTTGAGGTACTAAGCATGTGGTCTAATGCATATTTTCATGCTTGTTAGCAGCTTAAAAATAGTGTTGCGGGGACTGTATTTACAATTACTAAAAAGCATTTTTTCTACTAATCATTTTTCATGGAACTAAGAAAGGAAGATAACTGGGAAAGCAGTAAATATAGGAAACCACTAATGGTATCTCCTTCCTCCTCCTCTGATCCTCTCTTGGCTTCAAAGAGTGACTTGGAAAATGTATCTTACACAAAGAAAAATTATACAACAGAAGGTACAAAAAAGCAGCAACTAAGATGGAGGCAGGAAAATTGGTGGGTAGGGTG